CCGGAGATTACAATCTAATTCAATTGAATTAGTTTATCAACTCGCCTGGGGTACAAAACGTTTTTGCACTTTGAAAATGAGCTTTAAACCGTCAACATGAGTCATTAAACGAGTATATTTGGGACTTGAGTATGAACTTACCAATATTAACGCCATTAACTTCTACTACGTAATCACCATCTCTAAGACCAGCCGCAAATGCAGGAGATTGTTGATCGACCTCACTTATATAGTGTCCGACCTTGCCCTTCGTCGCCTGTAGGCTAAATCCATAACCTGAATAATTTTCCCACTTCTGAAGAGTGCATAGTCGAGCACAATACTTTCTAGGCATTTTGAAGACGTCATATAACGCGCTATTGACACTGACTCACACTAAAATTATTCACGATTGTTAAAAACAAAACGTCCTTCTCCAACCATAAAAACTTCACCAGGCACTGAACTGTGAAGTTTTACTGATAAATACATAAAGTAACTCACGCATGAGATGTTTTTTTCAACCATATAAAACCAATAACAACTAAAATCCAAATTTAGCACTCCATTCTAGCACTTTGTTTCAAGAGATCCAAATCAATGTGTCGAAAGTATAACCTGAGTACTCACGAATATTTAATAAACACACCCCGCTCGATTTCAGTGGTGGTAGATGCACTTAGGATTTCGTACTTCATGTTATGCAGTATGGCATATAAGGTTACATTGAAAATTACGAAGACATTTGTAGTGACTCACATTTATCACGAGAACACGACTGGTTTAATAAAAACAATTATTATTATAACCAAGTGTACCAGTGACTGTTTTAACGTGCTTTTGTTTGACTGTGCTAATGACAGCTATTTTGTTCTTTCATTCATTACTTACACTTTGATTGTAACTTCGCGCGAATTCGGTTACGTTCTGTAACCAAGCTTGTATCCTGGCACGATCTCGGTATCCTTTCGATGCCACGAGATCGCCAGCTAATAAACATCGACTTGGTCCATTAATTGCCTTCTGATATTTGGCTTCTCGGGGATTTTATGGAGTCATTTGGAACGAGCTTCTTACGCCTTCTGATCTATTGGCACGTGTTTCTTGGTAGCGGTGTTCATAGTTAATCTCAACTCGACGCCACGCTACAATTGGTAATCCCAATTCGACTACAATTGGTGACCCGTATTTTGGAACACGCCTCAACTTCTGACCAAATCTTCCAAAGAAGCCAATTCGGTGAGTCTATGATTTATCTATCCACGTCTGTCGTATATTTTCATATTTTTTAATATATAATATACGCGACATGACGGATAACGATAAGAATAGTATTAATATAATAGACTCACACGTATGTGTACCGAGTCCTTGTCACTTTTTATTCGCGTGATGATGAATTCCACGCTCTATTCGAGAAATGTTACCCTATTAACGATTCTCCTCGTTGACCCGGCTGCTTGGTACGGAATGCATACGCATAAGCATATCCGTCTACCACCCAGCACCAAATGGTTAAGTTGAACGGTTTCACTGCCAACTTAAAAGTGTTCTACGAGCACACGAAAACGGCAACTGGCACGAAACCTTACCGCTCGTTCTTTTAGGGGGAGAACGAGCTTAAAGGCAGATATCCAATGTTCCGCCACTGAACTTGTATACGGCACGACATTGCGTCTGCCCGGAGAATCCTTCACACCACGGAGCAGACCTAATTTCGGTAAATCAGACAACGTCCGTCGACTGTCTGCATTTATGTGAACGCTGTCTCCGGTGTCAACTCGAATACAACATCGACAGGTCGCTCTCCCTCGAGAGTTATCTACCTGTTCACATGTTTTTGTACGAGTAGATTCGGTACGCAAACCTTGACAACAACCTTACGAAGGCCCTTTTCACGTGATCGCTCGTCACGAAAAGACCTTCAAGGTTGATCGACATGGACGCGTCGAGATCGTCAGCGTTGATCGTCTCAAACCAGCACACGTCGATGACAGTGCCCTATCTGGTAACCTGAGATTCAATGCTAGACCTATTAAACCTAGCGGGATCCTTAAATCTTCAGGTCCCACGTTAGATGCATCTGAGACCTCATTCTCACGTCCCGGTCAACAGCACGCGTCATCTGCACCGTCTACGGACGAGACGATAGTCTCACGTCCAGATCAGCAGACCACGCCGCCTCTGACCTCGGATGAGATTGCAGGCTCACGCGACGCGAACGAGACTGCCGTCTCACGTTCCGGTCGCCGAGTACGGTTACCCGTACGCTTCCGCGAATAGTCGCACAGTCAGCTACCGATACGGTGTAGGATTATTCCTATACTACACGTATGCTACACTCTTCTTTTTTGATTTTCTTTTTGTTTCCTGAGCCCACGCCTTCGACCATCTCCGTTTGGTTCCGTCGACTTCAGTCAACTTTGGCGAAAGCTGGATTGGCCACCCATGCTCTTGTCAACGCACTCAGTCGATATATTGGTTTCGAACGCTTGGCACACGCTTGGTCTCGAACTTGGTCGTTACGGTCGCTTCTGGTCTTTTGGCTCAACGTGGTTTCGTCCTTCGTCTGCAGCGTTCCTGGTCCGCACCCTACGAACGCCCTCTTCAGATTCTGGATACAAACCACTCTCGTGTAGCATGCCAACTCGAGCAATCAATACAACACATCGCTCCTGGTACTGTTCTCCGAAAACGACCTTCGTTGGCAACTCGACGATCAACGATCGCTTTCCTGTTCGCCAATCTTTCCGTCCTACAATCGCTCGTCAGCCGATCAGTCCCACGATTCAAACCGCTATTTATCGAAAGTGTAAACCCTTTCTAGCGGGGGGCTCCTGTAGTGACTCACATTTATCACGAGAACACGACTGGTTTAATAAAAACAATTATTATTATAACCAAGTGTACCAGTGACTGTTTTAACGTGCTTTTGTTTGACTGTGCTAATGACAGCTATTTTGTTCTTTCATTCATTACTTACACTTTGATTGTAACTTCGCGCGAATTCGGTTACGTTCTGTAACCAAGCTTGTATCCTGGCACGATCTCGGTATCCTTTCGATGCCACGAGATCGCCAGCTAATAAACATCGACTTGGTCCATTAATTGCCTTCTGATATTTGGCTTCTCGGGGATTTTATGGAGTCATTTGGAACGAGCTTCTTACGCCTTCTGAACTAATTGGCACGTGTTTCTTGGTAGCGGTGTTCATAGTTAATCTCAACTCGACGCCACGCTACAATTGGTAATCCCAATTCGACTACACATTCATCAAAGCTGAAAACCAATATGATAAACTTATTATATTTATGCACTTCAAAAATGATCTGCCTTTAGTAGTAACCTACACTTTGAGCTATAGTGGATTCTACCAGATTATAAGACAACTAGTTTTCAAGACTTTGGATTCTTTAGTGCTTTGTAATTTAATTTGACCTGTGCTGCTGGTAGTTGTCCTTAGGTTTGCACTGATAAAAATTTTCATTCAGGTCTTGAGACAAAATAATTGTAAAACGAGGTTTTATTGTAAGTCCATTAATTTTTCAAAATTCACTATAGTACAATAAGAAAATACAGCATTTACGCATATCAAAGTAGTAAATAAATGCTTGTATTATGATTTTTAGACTTTATCAAGAAAAATTTGTTAGCTGTGAACCACCCAATCGAACTTGTCTCAGTCTCTTTATCTTTATCATCAATGAGGTGCTGTGCAGACCTTCAAAATAATTAATAAAGGCTCGACTTACGACCTCATTGAGCTACTTTATTAAGAAGACTTCTTCACAGACTTTTTCAAAGAAACTACACATCACAAAATAGGTAGTACAGTACTTCCCAATTATTCAGAAGTTAACAGTAGACCGCACTTTACATTCATCTGGTTAACACTATTTCCCTGGAAAGTAGACATTCAAAGGAACGAAGCAAGCAGAACGACCCTATTTTTGTAGCCTGAAAAGAAATATCGATGTCATTGGCCCTAAGACGAACTAATAGTTAGGTAGGTAAGCTCACATTGCAATTGTTCATTATCGTACGTTTATTACTAACTATGACTCCTGAATCTTCATATCTATAACCACAAAGAGAGTCATTTTTTCAATTTGTGCTCATACAAACCTCTGGAATAAACGGTTTGAATTATGACACATCTGCTGGAATTTATTAATTATCACAGATTTAGCTATTTAACCAGACACTTCAAATGTATTTGTTTTATTTTACCGAAAGAACTGTATGAATAGCTACATCTCTCACACAATTCAATGGTATTAAAAGTCCATTTACTTTTGTTCGTTGATTATTAACACTGAGGAAGCCATTCCTTTTCTTTTTAACTCAACAGCTTATTTCTAAAATCTCCATTCCTAGTCTAAGACACAGGTAAAGCATCTTATTGAAGACTTTACTGAGATCTATGGAAGTTGCAACTTCTGAAATATTTTCATTTTCCTCTGCAGTTGCATCTTTGCCTGACGTGAGGGGACTAGTCATATATAGAAGGCCATTCCCATGTTCCTAAGAGATTTGCGCATGTGTCATGCATACTCATATAAACCAGACACAGATTTTGAGGACCAAACGTTTTGCAATTTTTGACTAAATTTGAAAGCTAAACCCTTCAAACATCGTTTTAATTCACTGGGAATTATGTCAGATACTTAATTGAATAACCACGTCATACACTACAAAAGATCTGGTGCCCATCCAGTGAAACCAAACGTCAGAAGCGGGGATGTTTATAGACGTATTTGTTAGTCTGTCAATATATCAAGAAGTAGCTGAAATTAACCGGCTAGTTGTTGCAGGAGAAGTTGAGCACGGCGTACTCACTCGTGGCTTGGTGCGGATGCGTGACTGAAAGCCTTCAGCTAATGCGAGTCCATTAAAGCCAATGCGGTCAGTATCAAATTTCGAACACTAACAAAGCTATAGACTTGGAAGGTTTATTTACATTTAGAAATCAATTAAATACAAAATGTTATTATTAACATCACATTTTGTTTTTCCCTTTCGAATTTTTGAAATCTAGGCTACAAGAAAACGTGCACTGTACGAACTACTTACGCTTCCCACATATATCTTTGACCATCAAACTGTCAGAAATTGATGCTTTAGTCAATAACCATTACTTACCTTCTTTTAAAGTGTAAGTGAATGCTATGAAGCAACTATATCGTCAATTTTTTGTTCTCTTCCATATGTTTTCTCAGACTTCCCAACCAACCAACAAAGGGGAATTAAATTCGAACAAAGGGGATATTAAGGGGAAAATGCGTTGAAAAATGAAGGAGAAACGCTCCAAAATTTCTTTTTTTTGCCTGTCCGGGGGAAATAATGCGGACTTCCCCGTTTTTGTCGCTCTGTTGCTCAAATGTCACCGAATTGTCTACTTTTCCTCCAACTTTCAAAGCACTCTTGGCATAACCTCAAAAATCCCCTATGTTCGCCTTTATCCCCACAACGCACCACACTAAAACTGCAATCCACGGGAAAAGTGGTACATGTTTAAATAAATTTATTGAACAGGAAGACGTATTATCATACAACATTATAGCAGAAGCTTGAGCATCAATCGTTATGCATTTTCACTATAATCGCCAATTCATTGTTATTTGAAAAGATATGAAAAGGAAGAAACAAATGATGTATTATTAATAGGGTGTGTGTATTTAATCGCAAGTTCACTGAAAATCAAACACACTTTCTCAACACTTAAATAGTTTCCCATGTAAGAAAGTAAGTTCATTTTTCAAAATAACGTTTATTGAAAATATGTAGAACATAAAAAACATCTCACGGATTACTTTCTTTAGCCACGCCTGTTCGGCTATTGAGAATAAAAATAATCTTGTGAATTCTGAAATGTAAAGAACGAAAGAAGTTACAAAGATATCTGAATGACATGCACAGTCAGATACTTGAAGCTTCATTTACGGTTATTCTCGTTAACACTGTGGTCTGTAACTACTGAGCAGTAGGGAAGTTATCACTTTAAATTAGCACATACCTGTTCTTGTTTCCTTCTATTACTCTTTATCAATTAGTCTCTGACGTCGCGATGTCGTACAGTTTCTCAAGGTCTTTTTCGTTGACAGATGATGACAAAAAGCTATTGGTTAATGCACCTGAAGTTTAAATAATAGATATAGGTTACTTCGTATGCAGCCGTAAAACCGTCATTTCTGAAGTGCTCGTTTTGAAGAAGTGCCAAGTAGCGTAAAACTACTGGCAACCTCAGGTGTCATGAGGTACGACAAAACATATCGCATTGAGGTTTTAGGATCATTATCCATTAACCTCGTTACCATGGCCATCTGTAATACGAACAAATTGTAAAATTAATGTTGTTGACTTACAAATCTGCCTCTGATTTCTTTCTGCTGCGAACCAGTGTTCAAAATCTGCAGTTCCTCTTCAGATGACAAAGGGAACTTCTGACTTGATAGTCCGCAGTCGAACTGATGCGGATGTTTGTGTTCACTGAACTTCGCTAGTGGCCGCTTTACGTTTGTACTCAAGTTAGTAATAGCTGACGACATGTTCTGCATCACTGTATATAACCTATCAAATCTGATAAACTTCACTTGATCGTACAGGGGACTTCTCCTATATCAGTGACTACTACAACATTATCAGGCTTAAATGAAGTGATTTTACTATTCTTAAACATAATTACTTGTTTATCGGAGACCTGCTTAGCGGTTATTGGGGCAGTATTAGTTAAACAGCTAACTTGAAGCCTATCGCAGAAGGACGTCTTCTCAACATAACGCTTAGCTGCTTGCTTTGCAACAGCATACCTACTACGCACAGATTTTTTAGTTGTCTCATGTAAGACTCGAATGGAAAGACTGAAAACCTATCTAAAGGTCCATGTGCACGAACGTCTTCAGGAAGGTGCTGTAACAAATGCACATTGTAAATTAAGTTTTCAGACCCATAACACCATTCGTATTCCTTAAGAACGTTTCCTAAGTCCATTGGAATTGCTACTCTCCAAACTACCTTTACAGGCAAATTACTTCCGAATTAAATCTCAACATACTAGAGAATGAGGATCAAGCATTAACAACTAGTCATTACAAATAAATGGTGTATGAATTTATCTGGAGTCTTCCAATTTGTTTATCCGTATATTTTTCATGGGTATTTAGTCGATGGATAGACAGGAATCTTCTTCAAAACCGTCTTCAAGTCTCAGGACTGAACTAGATGTTCCCTCGGCAGATACTTGTTCGACTGTTTCCTGTGGATATAACCTGCGACCATCAGGAAGTGTATCGTCGATTGCCTCATCATTCACTGCAACTAAAAGTGAGTTGGTGACTAAGTAAGTGTGATTTCTGAGGTCGGAAGGGATTTACTGTTTGTTAGAAACTACTTAGTTGGGAGTATAGCTGGAGGTGCTGGCTCTTTATTGGGAATAAGGGAACTAAACAAGATAATTCCAGGTAGTAACATAGATATCCAAGTTGTTACGTGGAATATGTTATCCATGAAGTCTCAGGTAACAATTCAAATATTTCGCTAGATTTACAGAAAAGTTTTATCCGGAAGATTTAAGTGATCTTTTCTTCAGTGGGTCTTCCGAGGAAGCTGCAAGCATTTATGCCATTTGTATACAAGAATGTTCTTCCGAAAAGTGAGTTTTTGTATGTTAAAAAAACTGAATACTAGTTCATATGGTATTTGTTGTGTATTGTAATGTCTAGTCTCGGAGTCACTCGCCAAATTTCCTTTTTTATCTATCTCAGTGGTGAATTAAATAGTACGTTAATAATAACCCAATTGTACCAGCAATGATTTTGTTTCGCTTTTGTAAATACAGCATTGTTTTCTTCATTTAGGCCCAATTAGCATCGCCTGCTACTTTAAAAGGTGGTAATTAGCCGTGCCTTTTTGTTATTGATATTGTATTTAGTATGAGATAAAGTGGTGTTCTTGTAACATTCTTAATATCCTTATAAAGTTTTAGCCACCTTTTAAAAACAGATCTTGTTCATGAATTGACCCTTCAGTTAAAAAACTACCTTTTTTAAATATATGCTCTTAAAAAAGCAGTATGAACCTCAGTTCAAAATTATTTTTTAATTTTAGAGGATCATCCTGTAAGTTATGTTTGGGGTAGTAGTTTAAGAATAAATTGTAAGTGGCCACGATTTTTTATTGATACAGTAATCCGAATTCTTAATTGATCCCCTGCCTTTGGTAATACTTTGTGAGAAAAACATTGTGAGGCGAAGGAATGGGTGGGTTACCTCCGAGTAGTTTATACACTATTTATGTCACCTCTTTTTCTTTAGACAGAATACTAAGCATCAATAACAAGTACATCGCCTGGGCTTGCTTTTAAAATTCTTTGAAACTTACTGCAGATATTACCTCGCAAAATAACAAGTTAAAGAAATGATACATGAATAAGAGTAAACAGCTTTATCTACACACTTGACTGTTTGTTTAAACTGCGTTTAAAATAAAATTGTCACAAGAAATTTATCCACCATGAATGATCTAAAGGGCACTATGTTTTGCATTACAGTTAAAGGTTAAAAAATATTCATCAACTGGTCCCTCATCTCATGCTTCTTGTTTATTATAATACATTTTATCATAAATTTGCTTGATTACTTAAAGAAATGAACTTCTTGTGAGATTGCAAGCTGCTATTGGCATAAAACATGTTCTGTTTACATATGCAACCCATGGGACATTGGCTTTAGTGATATTTCTAAATCGTGATCTTATATGGTATACTTCAGGTATGTGTAACGGTGATTTTAAAATTTAGTTTTGACTATTTGGTCATTTTTATTTCATGTGGTCTTTGATTTTTATGGTTTAAATTCTATCAACTGATTTCATTTAGAAATTACGATGTTTGGGAATGCATGTTCCGTAATACTAATCAAAATATGACTTGAATAATGTCTTTCCGAGCCACATTGGATCAGTTTTTATCATTAATTACATACCTTTTATATCTTAATTAGAAATAAGCCTCTGGTTTTCATAGCGAATATGGATCCAGTTTTGTCACAAAGTCATTGTTAACGAGTAAGAACTAACTGAACTGAACATAAACATTGACATCCAAGTTAAGTTACTGAAATATTTAAAATGTGAAGGGAGTTCACTCAACGTATATGGCTGTTGAAGAAAAGAATATAAAGTCATGGTTTTATTGGTTATAGAATAAACTTTTAAAGAATCATTCCATCAATCGCAATCGAGAAAAGGTTTACGTAACTTCCTAGACATAGTTTAAGTTTAAATTTGAATTTGTTGATACAATTAAAAATATGAATATAAATGGCAAAACTATGTTATCACTAGACATAACATCTTTGTTCACTAACATCCCTCTGACTGAAACTATCGATTACATATGTGAACAATTGCTAGAAAAGAAAATAGAGATACCGATCCCAGTAAGTAAAATGAAAGAACTTCTATTGAAATGCACTATGAATATCTACTTTAAGTTTAACAATGAATTTTTCAGACAAGTAGATGGGGTGGCAATGGGATCACCTCTAGGCCCGATCCTTGCTAATATTTTTCTGACCAAACTAGAAAATGGACCGCTTAAAGAAGTCCTAAGTAAGCTTGATTATTACTGTCGATACATAGATGACACACTAATCATATGTGACGAAAATATCGACAAACAGGAGATGTTGGACTCTTTCAATAATGTCCACACAGCCATTAAATTCACCAGCGAAGAGGAGAAAGACAATAGTATAGCTTTTCTGGATGTCCTACTTTCTAGAAGGACAGGTGGTTCAATAAAGCGAAATGTATTCAGAAAGAGTACATGGACGGGTCAGTATACACATTTCCAAAGCTTCACACCTCTTCAATATAAAATAAATTTGGTTAAATGTCTAAACCTCAGAATCAAGTTGTTATGTTCTCAAGACAGTGTGGATGACGAAATAGATATACTAAAGAACACATTACGAAATAATGGTTATCTTGATAATTTCGTCAAAAAATACCTCGTACAAAGTACTAAAAAAGAAGAAAATGTGACCCAGTCAGTAAAAAGACCTTATATCTAAGACTTGACATTAAAGGGGACGTAGCGGGTGATATTTTAATACGTCGACTCAAAAGATCTGTCAAAGGACGTTTAACGCCGCCAAGCTGCACATAATTTTCTCAACTAAACCAGTACTCACACAACCAATCAAGGATAGATTGACGAAGATGGGTTCTTCCATGTGCTCCTGTCGAGCTAGTTACATAGGCCGTACTCAGAGGGCTTTATCCTTGCGTGTTCGTGAACATGTACCAGCTTGGTTGGGAAAAGGAGTTACCAAATCAATTAACAGTACCATTCTTTCTCACTTGGTAGATAGTGAACATCATATTACAATAGAGGAAGCTTTCTCTGTTTTATATCAAGTTCCAAAATATCTACCTCACGCAGCTAGATAACGACTGCTTTACATAGCCGAAACCATCTGGATCAACTCCAGAAGACCAAATTTATGTATCCAGAAAAAATATATCCAGCCTCTTTGTTTACCTTGGCCTATGACTGGATCAAAGAATACCTAGACTGAATATTATAAACATCTTACCCCCTTCCTCTATTTTTATTGATTTAATTTTTTTTCCTTATTATCATTTTTGATTATCTCTATCTTAATCTTCACATCCATCATTCCCAATTCGTTGATCTTAATTACCTTGATAACACCCTCCTTATTACATATTATATTCACACAACAATCTTATTATTATTATCTCAATTGACAAAATTAAATTCTGCTATTCATGTGGTAGACTGTTAAAAACAAACTATCCAGTTCGGTTGTACAGCCGTTTTTAAAGTAACCTTCAGTGTAAAAATTAAATAAATCGCATCTAAACAGACGATGCACATAATCCTTATCCAAAATTACTATGGACTTTATTAATATTTATTTCTATTCAAGCTGCATAAAACCAAAATAATGGGAAAACCCTTTTTATATTGATTCTAATATTCAGTTTTAGTATTTATCTAATGTATAAGGCTTTCACAAGCAAACTTATGAACACAATGATGACAAATTACATATTCAACACTCAACAACCTTTTTCAAGCTGTCGTGAAGTTTGTAACTGTGTTTTAAACATTTTTTAAACCCCAAAATATTCAACAAAACCCATATAATTATATGGATTTTTATCTTATGTTGTAGTGCCTCAGTCAGTTGGAGTCACAACTTCAGCTGCCGTACGAACTAAAGGAGCTGTAGCTATTTGCTTTATACTTTTTGGTACATCGATTTTATTCCTCTCAGCTCATTTTAAAGGTAAACCATCAAATATTTTTAGGGAATTAAAAAGGATTACTTGTAAAATTTCAGTAACTTTATCTACATATATCTAGGTAACGAAGTAAATATACTTCATATCCTGAGGACCAGTTATAACAATTTCTCTATATAGTATTGTGGGGATTGTCTTGTTTGACATCAGTACCATTTACTTTATTTGATAAGTCATATAACAACGCATAGATGAGAAAATATGTAGAGCGAAAGTTATTTTAAATTACTGTTCCTAGTTGAACAAAACAATAAGCACAAGAACCGCGTTTGAGAATCTGATAAAATTATTAACATATTATCTGATGAATCCATTGAATACGAGTTTTCTTATACTTGGGTCAGTTTTTGGTCTAAGTGACTAAGTTATCACTTGCCTTGCTAGCTCTGGAATGTTAATTAATGAGCCATTCATGATGACCCGAGATAAAAGCATGAGTGATGTATGTAACTTGTTGATGAGAACACATTGGTTCACTAGTTCTTGTTTGTGCAACTGGATCATAATCTATAACTTAAAGTCAGGTAACCCACCATTTTACACATTTTTGATGAGTGAAGAAATAATTTGCCATCATTATATTATCCGTTTCTATTGACTGGAAATGAGTAGCAGATGCCCAATTAAAAATTATCGGATACTAAAACAGGAATGTATGTCTTGTGGTTAAGGCTACTACTACTACTACTCTGTCATTCGTGTTGATATTTTCATATCGCTGTGCATATGTGGTATAGAAACTTGAACTGATGAACCTTTGTTCCCAGTTTAAATTCTGTATGCTTGATTGTATACACTTTGAGTAACTATCTGATGCTTTTTTGTGACAACCAAACTAACGAGGTGAAACCGATATCAGAATACAGAAAGGTGTTCAGGAGGGTTTACCAATTTTAGTGAAAGATTTTACTCAAAAGTGAATAAAAGTCATATATAAAGTAACTACATGTATGTTATTTGATCAAATGATTGTTTTATCGTAGAATGATCATCAAATTCTAGTAAGATTCTCAGTCAGTCACTATAAAATAGATCGCTTGAAGTTCTAGTACACAGCTGAAACATGTGAAGTCAACCAGTTCGACGGTGAACATCAGCAGCCATGGATATTTAGTAGTGAATTCTTCGTACCACGTACCCTATACAACAAATCCCTGCTTTATGCTTCCACTGCGTCGAACTTTTTTGACGTATTTATCTAACAGTAATACAAGTTGAAGACTACAAATTGAAATTGAACGTTTAGTTTCAATACAACACTACAAAACACCGTTTTCACTACAAGACATAAATGGATTTGTTTTGCCTCTGTGAATTAAGATACAACGTTAATTCATCACTGCATTCTATTTACTATATCGTATAATGCTGTGTGTTGGATTTAGTTTGACGTCTATTATAATTTTTAGGCGGCACAATTCAAAATACCACAGAAATAAAAAAGATGAAAGTATTTTAAAATAATGTTTTTACGCCTTTCAGTCATGAATCTTCATTTTACATCAGGGTGAAATTCAATAACGTCAGTAAAAATATAGGGAATTTTGCGCTAAACGGTTCCGTTAAAGTACCAAACATTTACCGCAGATTGAGTCGTGATCAAAGTTCGCCAGTATAGTGCTATAACGAATTTCTTGTCGTTCTTAATTCTCTATGAAAACTGAAACATTTCATAACACCGCCTAGTCAAACTTAATTAATAAAAATCTTGTAATTGTTTATACACTTCATCATAATTATGAAGTTTGATTTAATAAAATTTCAATTAACCGGCATTTATTTCATTTGGATTTTAGCTAACCATACAAATTTTGAACGGAGAGTTCAAGATTATTTACAAGTAGTGAATAATATTAATCTACCAAAAGTTGGTTTTAACAAAGGATATAAATACGAAGGTGTGTTACAATTCGTAGAAAATGATTCCTGATAAATTTGTTTTAAACATTTAAACACTTTTATAAAATATCAGCAGAGTCTGTCTTAATGATGTCGTGAAAGTTCTCATCCATGTACTACATTCCTCATAGTTGAATGTTATGACGTCTTTTATCTTCTAAGATGCTGAATTCATCAGTTCGACACACTGAATCAATTTTCAAGACTCAATTTTAATTTTGCGTTATTTTTAAAGGTCAAAATTTCCTACTGATCAGATCAAAGGTTGAATATATTCAGGAGAAGCTTATCGGACAGAGTTATTAAGCAAGGTAGCTTTTAGTTCTCCGTATATTTTCATGAAATTTTGTTTAAAAACTGATGTCAGCTTGACAAACCTTGAAAAACAAGGTGATGCACAAATATTTTTTCAAACCGAGAAGTGTAAGCATCAGGGCAAATAATCTGATTAATCTTATTAGTTCTCTAGATGTCATCAGTTAGTAATGAGATCGCATTTAAATGACACAAAACTACATACAAGTAAACAAACAACGCATAAATCAGATTTTGAAAACTGAAACACAAGCAAATACAAAGAAGTAGAGACTTACTCCTCAATTAATAACCACAAAGGCATTTAGAATCTCATAGTCAATAATATTTTAAGAAGAGCATATAGGGAAATTGATATCTATATTCATAAATGCATAAGCATTATACAAATAATGTCGTTTATAAAAGAAATATTCTTTTAGTCCAGCAGTGTATGATTGTTTTAATGACGAGAATAATATATGCTATTGATTTTCACCAAATATTAAAATAACTTAACTAAAGCACATGATGATCAAGGTCGAGCTAGAATGGATCACTTTTTAGAGAGCTTAACCGATAACTCCGAAACAAGTTACACTTGATGTTGTCAAATCAAATAATTCACTTTATAAACATGTTTAGAAACCGCATTTGATAGACCTAACAAAACAGAACAAAGTCATTGGTCTAAGTGATCAGAACTCCCAATAATATAGTTTAAGGATAGCTGGGAAATAAACAACTATGCTCTTGAATTTTTATATTATGAATTACTTTGAAATACCAATAAACATATTTCATTTTTACTTTAAACACTAATAATTCTTTGTTAAAAACGTTTATAGAATCCAACCCATTGGATCGGTTCGATGTTGTTTTCTGGGCAGGAGATTTAAATTTTCGAATACAACGACCAAGACATATTGTCGAAAACATAATTAAAGGAAAATATAAGCATAGAACATTTGAAGAACTTTTGTCGGTTGATGAATTACTCAATGCACAGTCACAAGGTAAACATTGGATATTTTCAAAAACACTTATTACACAGTAAGCATGTGATCTTCTTAAGAAAAAGACATAGTTATGGATCACGTATCTTAGTTACATGACCCTGTTCATTAATCCTCAATAGGATTAGAGTAGTATGCATCGTTATATTCCACAAAATATGCGTATATCATAACTTTATAAACAAATATGTGGGCTTTGTTGATATATCTGTTTATTTATATCTTGAAGCACATATTCAGTTATATACTGTAGCGTTACACAACTCGAAATGTATACGGAATATAAGTTATCGAATTTAAAATAGACCAGTTACGTTTTCATCGATTCCAAAATACTTGAGAAACACTCCAGACAGCCGTAATCATATACTTATAGTGTTTTGAACGCAGTAACATGGAAGAGTACTTTAAATGACAGAAATCCATCTAACGTCACTTCGCGACTAAAGGTTTTCTTAAAGCTGAACAAATCTTTAAAGACTGATCCATTAATTTGCAGCCAAAGGGGTTTATTAATTTATTCCCTGAGGTTGCTATGACAGCCTTTAACCTGTAAAGTTCGCCAAGCTGAATAGAAGAGAAATAACCACTAGTGCTACTAGATGATGACAACTGACTGCTTAAAAATTATGAATTACTGATTTCTTACCTAATCGCTAAATGATATCTTGACGATTGAGAGATACTAAGTATTTTTCAGGTTTAATCTCATGTAGAGCCGTTATTGGTAACTGTCAATTAGCAAGAAACTGTTCTTTAACAAGCTAACCTTAAGTAGTTCCCCATATATTGTGTATTTATCAATAAAACTAATTTTTCCCTAATTCGAATGGATAAACTTTCTGTTCTTCTTGGTAATCAATCCAAATAATTGTTTTGTTCCATATTGATTTATTCTACACTCCTACTAATCTTAAAAACCTATAGGTCAACCAATATAAATAATACAAATGGAATATCTGAATATTATAAAACTGAAAGATTCTACAGAAAACTTACTGACAGTTAAGATGTTTACACTTGATTTAAATAAATTATCAAACGATAGACTGAGCCCTATGAATCTTTAACGGGACTAAATTCCAATTGAATCTTGAGAGCAGATCTGTATAATTTTAGTCTGAAAACAAATGTTAGCTAAATTAATAAATTCCAACTTAACAAGTGTATATACCTCAAGGTGATAGTAATAATAATAATCTCATTCTAAACCTTATCTTATATCTTCCAGAGAAATGGACGTACGACTTCAAGATTATAAAAAAACACTAGTATGTTTATTTTCAGTAAATTATCCTGGTTTATAGGATAAATGAAAATTCAGTTTCAAATACGTGTTTTGTTTCTTAAAAGGTATCATCTTTCAGAATTTTGACGAAGGCCGTATTCGCTTCCCTCCAACTTACAAATTTGATCTCAATTCAGATGCTTACGACTCATCAGAAAAACAACGCGTTCCATCATATACAGTAAGTAATGGCGATTTCTTTTCATTATCGTTACATTCGGGCTGAATAAATCAGTAATAATTTTATTTAAAATCAAATATCGAGTTTACCATACTTAAAATCAGGACTACTGAAGGAAACAAGCAATATAAAAAGTGGTGAAAATAATAATAACAATCATAGTGTGACCACAAGCCACTGAGGAGAGGAATGTTTATTTAGGTAAATTACAGGATGTTTATGCAATATATACACTTCGTCTTTGAACATTCACTTGCATCTTATATGTTCTGCAATCCAAGTCACTTCTAGACTGTTTTCTTACACTTCTGTTCTCCGAAGTATTCTGCATATGCCGTGCTTTTATACCTCCTGGAGCTCTTATCTTCGGCCGTCGACGATAGCAACTTCCGAGCGACGTCCCGATACATACTGGTTATAAGCAATCTTCTAAGTAGCTTTCACCACAATAGTAAAACACTAAACACGAGAACCTTAGTTCACGAATCTAAAAGTCTGGCGATTAACAATGTGGATTGCCAGGTTCATGACTGAAACGAATACATAGGCTAAGTTCACCTGTGTTTGTGAGATTATTTCAGTCGTCCATTCCCACCAACCACGGACTATGGTTGCCTTAACAACAAGAATTAAGTTCATATCTCATTTCGCAGCTTAGAGTAAAGGTCAAAAATGTCACAGCTTAAGCCCATATCTTTGTCTGGTTACCCTCAATATTTATATAAATTACGCCCGTTTGCATGGTGGATTAATGGAAGAAATTGTTCGCTAGTGCTAAAATATTTCCTAAGCAACTTAAATAATTAGTATTAATCAAGCATTTACAGTATGGCAAATCAGAAAGCATTTACCATGCTGTTCGTTGTTTCGAAATAAATTGCACATTTAGATTTAAAGTTATGTCACTGACATCAGAGAGGAAAAGAACTTGATCGGGCAAGTTAAGTGTGGTTGTAAATGTACATCACTCCAAGTTTTTATTCGATTCAATATGACTAAGTAAGACTGAATAGTTTAGAACTACGATAATGAAATAATAGTATTAGTATTAATCAATTTTCAGTGATTCTTCCGTTTAATTCAGATCATGACGAAAAGTATATGTAAATTTATTATCGTAGCATTTTTAAACTTTACTATAATTTGATAATACTTTGCTGATCTAAAAACCTCACTATATATATGATAATAAACTCACTGTTTATTCATTATAAATGTTTGACAAAATTATTTCGCTGTACATTTTTCTTGTTTATTTCCGGTCATTACGTCTTCTTACGTTTTCTCTTGTGTTTATTCAACATATAGGACAGAATATTGTTCATGTCAAAAAAGAAAGACAATTTGATCTGCTTAGATTACAACAGTATTAATACAATCCGTTCATCGGATCATAGACCTGTGTTCGCACTATTCAGTTTAGTTTTAAGACCTGGATCTGATAAGTAAGTTTTCGAGGAAAAAGTTGTAACTAGATAACAACCTATGTATCAACTTTTACCTGAGCTATTAAAGTTTGATTTTACAGTTCGTATCGGTATCAATAAGCATAAATGTACAAAGACGTTAAATTCATGACTTTCGAATAAATTCCAATAAAGTTCTGATCGGAGAGAAAATTCTGAATAAATATAATGAAGTGTACTGTGATAGGCTATATATATGCAGATATGTAGTTGAATATCAGTACATTAATCTCTCACTTACCATCTACATCATTCACAGTTCCAATACACAAAGTAATATCTTCTCCTTAACTAGAAGACAATACTTAACAATCTACTTGAAATTATACGGCTCTAGAGGAAAATATCTGACCAATCATCTTCACTCGAAACTTAAATGATTCATATAATTTTAAGACACGTTTTCAAAATACGTCTCAGTATTATCCATTTTTAGTGATGGATTTATCAATAAAAACTATAGACAACTTAACTTTAGCCATGGTTGACTTAGCTGTACAAAACTGGAAACTCCTATCGTTCGGGAACTCCGGCTATGAGATGTGGCGTTTTCACTAAAGTAACTTAAAAGACAGAAACCAACTAGATAAATAAGGCTAACAGAAAAAAAAAGCTAATATTAGTTTATGGAGTTAATTTTAGTAGTAAAACTGTGTATGTAATCAAAGACTAGGTTTCTGGAGATCTAAGAGCTGATTTTCGACCTGGCACTCCGTTGTTAAAAATACACGCGGAAAATATACACACAATTTAAATTGTTCGTTTTATACTCCAGATGCTTGCCATATAACCGAAATCGGTAGTTCTCGAAATAGCCTTTGCTTTTCCGTCATTGTATATTGCTTTTTTATGGACAGTAATATTTGTGTTTCAAAAGACCAGCCTTCCTCTTTGTATCGTAAACGTATTGCCAGTGCCTGACTTGTTTTTGTTCAGTATATCTTTACTTCTTGATAGACTGATACAAATTTAATAATTAGCTTGATATTCAGCCTATGAAATGCGGAATACATCAAAAGAATATTTACGACCCAATCATTATAGGATATTATTTGACCACGCGATAACTACTCACAGCCGACAATCCCCAACAATGACAATTCACTATCAATTATCGGACGGACGATTGTATTGTACTGAATGAAACAATAATTAAACCGCATTGTTATGATGGGTGATTGAACCTAAAATTGAAGGCCACAAATCCCTCATTTAGTTTACGAGAAACGGAAAGTACAAAGAGACACTTCCCTAATAAACATATACTCACAACATAATCCGATTCGTTTTAAACTATAAGCAGTGTATATAATACATATTATTCCTGATTTTTGATCAAATGTTAGCAAGTTTTTTATAAATTATTCTTGGTTGTTACTCTAACAGAATCATTAACCGATAAACTTTTTTTCACAGCATTGCGTTAGCAGCTGGTGCATTTAATAGGGAGATATACATAGCAGGTATGTTGAAGAAAGCTTAAATAAATTTAAGTATAAAATCAAATTTTGTATGTGACAATGAATCCTATGGACCCAATCCACTGACTAACCTATTGTTGCTATTATTATTTATTTATTATTTATTATTAAAAGCTTTATTCAACATTATATTTTTGGTACAACATAGAATTCTCAGCATAAAGTATTTCAACAAGTTTCCTTTTCTTATACATTGATCGATTGTGACGATAAATTCTGAATGATGACCATTTAGATGTTAGGAGTCCGGTAATCCACATTTGATTAATGTTCATTCGTTTCAATGCATATTGCCAGCCACCATGATGTCGCTGATTGTACCTTTTTGTATCCCGTATAGCGAAAGGTTGTAAACTTTTCATAAACGCGCTTGAATAGATTGTGCACACAATAGACATAATGATGTGCTAAAACGAACAACAAAACAGATAACTTGATGAAATATCTAGATCGGAGGAACAGGTAGCCCAGATATTCAAGCAGGCCGCCAAGTCACACTCGGAACTCTTACCATGCTACTGGATAAGTTGAATTTTAGTAGATGCAAGTGACTTTACGATGCATTTAAAATCAATCTTTTGCCATCAAAGCATATATGCTCGCACTATTGTTTGACATTCGTGAAAGAGAGATTATCTGTAAGTAAAACTGCTGATTTCAGTTTCAAACAACGCCTAAACTTGGCTGACTGTTAAACATGGTTAACTGTCTCTTTTGGACTTCATGAAAATGGATATCAATCCCTTTTCCACTTCTTTTGAAGTGATACGATCATATTACTTCAAATCTAGACAAAATGTGCAGATTTTTTCCATACTCTTACCATTTTCCGAAACTTAGACACTTGTTTTTTAGCTTGCATTAATTTTTTCGCCGAATTTCTTTCTGTTGTGACGAATAACTGCCAACTGGAACCAATTGTCGAACACAGCGCCCGTATACTAAAAATAATATCGCGTAGTGGTTTGATGGTTACAAAGTTCATGTTTCAACCACAAAGTTACAAGCTTGTATGCCACTACAAATACAACTGACTCTCATTAACGCTCACAAATTCAGTATGACTTGAAGCCTAGAACCAAAACATGTATTTGGTAGATGAGTCACATTACTACGGATAAGAAATAGAATTGGTGCTTCAATGAACAACTATATATATCTTTCTTTAGTCTCAGTAACATCCTGCATTATCAGTGATCAAGACAAGGACGATAGAGACTAAGGAATAATAAAATGTACAACAATAAACTCGATAATAAACGAGAAAATAAGGAAATTAAATTCATACTACTCGTATATCTCAGTAGTTAGCCACTTGTATCACAACTCATATCTTTACCTTAGTTGAAAAGTCTGTGAGAAATACAGTAATAAGTATTAAAAATATTTTACCGACGAATTTCATGATAATAACCTAATATTGAATGCAAAACTCTTAGTTTTATTATATGAATGACGTCCACGGAAATCTCAGTTACGTCTTATAACTGATTATTTGAACTAAACAAAGTAATACAGTGCAATATATATTGCCGAAAATGAGATTATTTCCAGAATGGTAAACGCCCAATTAAGTTTTGTCCCTGGTAAAAAAAAGTGATATAAAAATTGAACATACTAGCCCTTATTTTCGGATATATAATTTGACTAGGGTGTAACTATATTAACAGTAGTTAGAGAATAATTCCTTGATACTATTTACCTGTTTCAATTCATCATATATATTCGAATTGTGGATTTGTTTTACTAGGCAATCAACGTCGTGCTCTACGTTTAGATAAACTAAAATCAAGAAAAAGTACAATTCATGCTAGAGTTTGTACTATTCAGTGAGATTTTCATTACCACAAAAATGGATAAGAATGCAAATAAATTACAACATTTGAAACAATTATTTCATGTACAACCTACCAATTTTCTATTCAAATAAATTATTTTTTAAACCTTAGTTTTTTTAGTCATTTCAATTGTCGTATAGGAAGATATGAAACTATAACTAGCCTTGGATAGGGTTCTAGATGATAAATTCAATCTTTCAGTATACAAACAGTGAAGAATATTAACATTTAGTTAATTATGTGACTAAAAGATGACTAAATAGTATTTGCGAAAAACTAATCGAAATTACGTCGTTGTGTCAACGCGTTTCATGACACTCTTACCTTCTTACTTACTTACGCCTGTTACTCCTAATGGAACATTGGCCGCCGATCAGCATTCTCCAACCCACTCTGTCCTGGGCTTTCTTTTCTAGTTCCATCCAATTCTTGTTCATTCTTCTCATGTCTCTCCATTTCGCGGCATAATGTGTTCTTTGGTCTTCCTCTTCACCCCCAATGGCCTTGAGGATTCCATGTGAGGGTTTGCATTGTGACACACTTGGGTGTTTTCCTCAATATGTGTCCTATCCAATTCCAGCGCTTCTTCCTAATTTCTTCCTCCTCTGTGATCTGGTTTGCTCTCTCCCACAGTACGTTGTTGCTAATAATGTCCGGCCAACGGATCCGAAGTATTTTGCGTAGACAACTGTTAATAAACACCTGTATTTTCTGGATGATGGCTTTCGTTATTCTCCAGGTTTCTGCCCCATACAGTAGAACTGTCCTGACATTTGTATTGAAAATTGTGACTTTGGTGTTGGTTGACAGTTGTTTTGAGTTCCAGATGTTCTTCAGTTGTAGATATGATGCTCTTGCTTTGCCGATCCGCGCCTTCACATCTGCATCAGATCCACCCTGTTCATCAATGATGCTGCCCAAATATGTAAAGGATTTTACATCTAAATCGTCTCCGTCAATTTTGATTGGATTGGTGCATGCTGTGTTGTATCGGAGAACCTTGCTTTTCCCTATGTGTATATTGAGACCTACTGCTGCTGAGGCTACTGTTACACTATTCGTCTTCTCCTGCATTTGTTGTTACGTTTGGGATAGAAGGGACAGATCATCTGCGAAGTCTAGATCGTCTAACTGCATCCTATTTGTCCACTATATCCCCTGCTTCCCTTCAGATGTTGATGTCTTCATGATCCAGTCGATCACCAGGAGAAAAAGAACTCTTACCTTCAACTTGTATAAAACATGAAATATATTTAACACCTAAGTAGATGACGAAATATAAGAGATAAACGGCCCTGGCTTGTGCGGTAAATGTAAATCTAGGCGACGCATAACTATACCCTAAAGAGAACGCAAACTATGGATAATCGGCGTTGTGATAAGACTAATTTTAAAACTTTGTGATTAGGATTCAGTTTCCCAGACTAGGTTTACTAAGGAATGGGTTGTCTCTTGCTTATCTTACATTTTGAACCAGGATTTATATGAACAGTTTGAATCCAGACCTACATTATTTTAAACATCCTAAGTAACTTACATTTAGTTTCATAAATGTTGTGTATATTAAGTGGATCAAGGAATTGTTAGTCTGAACTTCATTAAACTTTAACCGTTTTTGGATCGGTCCTAAGTGTCCTTTCTCATCAAGTCTAGGCTCCGAAGAAACTACATTGCCTACCGATAACAAGGATGTGTATGAAACTACTGGTCATCCTGACTTATTGGATTGTTGTGATGCATAAGTGCTTCAGTGATTAGCAGACTCGACATGCTGAACCGATTGATATAAGCAAATGGTCTGTACCTGTTACCGAAACTCAGAGATGTGGGATTGTTGTTAGTAGTTATCTCATAATTAGACTAGAACACAAACGGAATGGTGTGATAGCTTATTACCTGTTGGCTTACAGTATGTAGGACTAAGGCCCTAAATGTCACTGTAAATAAGTCAAAATCTAAGCCTGGTTGATCCCGTTTCCATCCTTTGTCTTCTGCATGGACAGTAAGATAAATATAAAATTGGTCAGGTTTAAAGCAGAGTACATCATTTAAAATTGTAACATGTGAATTAAGGATTGTTCGTCATATAAAATAAAACTGTTAGTGTTTGGGTGACTAATATGAAGTATTAACTTGAATAAACTTGCACGTTAAATGAAACTGTGATAAAAGATCAGAATAAATATGGTCAGCATGAGGTGAGAGAATAGTGTAATTACAAATCAGAAATTAATATATAGAATAACAAACATTAACGATTTTATTTTATCTGACAAACCATCCTTGATTCACATGTTACAATTTTGAATGATGCACTCCGCCTTAAACCTGGCCAACTTTATGGATTGTTAATTTGGATATATAATTGTAGAACCTGACGAGAAATTATTGAAAATGTTTTTCATTCATATAATTGTCTTAATATAATGGGAATTTTTCAGCACGATGAACCTCAACAAAATTCTCGGGTATTGTTGTTCAGACAGTTTTCACTTCTATACGACTCTATATTTCTCATATCACCGACGTTTCTCAAGTGATGTACTAGAATTTATCTTTGATGCTTTTTATGATACTAAATTGAAATGTATTTGGTATCTGATTTAAATGTAGTGACATAACACGTTTCTGAATAAATCATTCGTAGTCAACACCCTTTTAAACCATAAATCTGTACAAACTGAACACCAGCCACCGACAAATCAAACTCTTTCCACCGAGTCAGGATGCTTAAATGTCGAAAAACTATGACTAAACTCTTAATACACAATCAAAGTAGATACACACCAACGGTGCACCAGTTTTCTTTATTTCGTAATTCAACAGTTATAATAGACGCCTGTAAACGTTTGGTTTGTGCTCTACATATAGAAAGAAGATTAAGACAAATTTATTTCCAGAGCCCAAATAATTAGGCTTACTATGCATGCATTCGAAATGAAACGAACAGGAAAATGTAAGCAGTAACCTTGATCAGATGAATGCACAATAGGCAGAACAGAAGTTCCTCACTCACTGTGTCCCTTACAGATAGTATGTGGTCTGTTTGATATTGGTCAGCAAATCGTCCTAAATAGCTGTATAACATAATTTTTATGAAGTCCCCTAATCCTTATTTTTTCCATAATTATGGACAAATATAGGACCAAGAATCAAATCAATCGGAGATACAATCAAAACAAGGAAGCAAACAATGAAAGGCTAAAAGTCGACAATAATCAATCAAGATCGAGATCTACAGGACAAATTGGGAGTCATATGTGGAGAAAATCGAACACTTCACTTCTACTCGAAGTCTATGCTGACAATGTCATTCAGAAGAACGACGAAAGCTCCGCGACCAAGCCATACAACTCAGAGAACAAAACTTCACCAAAAACCAATACACACGTGCCAGGTCTTACGCGCAACACTGCATGGTCGTTAAATACGAGACTATCTTGCCCCAACTAAACCATACGCTAAAAGAAGTTCCAAGTCACTGATTAGTTAGTTATGTATTTCATAATCATTACGTTTCTATCCAATAATAAGCAAAGAATTTGAACTTTGAAGCAGCTTGAATTTACATGGAGAGGGTATCGAAACTGAAATCTAATGACACATAAAATATAGATAGTCTATACGTTGGCATAAAAACTAAAGGGAACAAAATATAAGAGGGTACTAGAATAATATAGAAAAATAGAGTCTAAACGATCAAATATCAGGAAAAAGTCGATAAGCGTTCTTCAATGTATGGCAACAGTTTTTCTGGAGAACCACGAGTAAACCCAACAAAGCCAGCTTGCTCTGGTGGAATTTCAGGACCCAATAACCTCTTAATTTCAGCCAACGGCATATCCTAAACACCGGGAAACAAAATTATGATGAAAAAATTTCTGGATGGACATTCAAAGACTTACCTTTTTGCATAAAAACTGAGAAGAATAAGTGGACTCATCACCTGTCCATATCAAATGGTTAAGTGATGCAGGAGTACAAACGAGAGCATGTTTTCCTTGCAAGAGAGCAAGTGCAAGTTCCTCCTGATGATTATCCATCAACGTTTCATTTACAACGACGATTAGTCGGCGACTTCCAAATGGAGTAAGAGCCTGGATACAAGTGCCTGCACCGCCATGACTAATAACTAATGATGCACTTTTAAACTCATCAACAAGGGAATCTTTGTATCGAAAGGATTTCATGCGTAAGAAGGGAGTTGTAGACAAATGTTCAGTATTTTCGGCACAAATGTCTTCCGGAATACGGGGTGTGATAGATCCACTTCCATATTGTATGATCAGATCTTTATATCCCAATCTTGAAAGACCTTCATGGAATTCGACTTTATTGACCTCATTAATCAGCCCATCAAATGAAGTCGTGCCAACAGTAACGAATACAACGGCCATTTCTTAGGATCAACAAATGGTACTCATAAAATAAGCAAATATCTGACACCCGAAAGTCCTACTTGGAAGTACTATATTTAAGACCAGACAACCTAATCTTTTTATCTACCTAAAACAAGATAAAATACAGTGCACAAACATACTGGTTGAAGACAGCAACGGTAAAAAGCGTGCCTGAGTGATGCACACTCACGAGGAAAGTTGTCGCGTTCTAAACACTCTCGGGGAGTGAGTTTTTTCTAAAACATGCTATGACTTTAACAGGACATACGTCTTGACAACAAGAGCTACGTAGTAAACAGAATAGTAAATCCGCCTTCTGTTCTTCACAAGGTCCTTTTTCTTTCATTCACGCAAGCTGATTGGTAAAGCCTTGTATCCGACTATTCTGAAATACAAAAAGGGATGTTTACTCAGACGAATAATTATACTGATAAGTATGATGAATTTCATTGCACTTCAGTGCGTTACCAAGTCAAAAATGATTATTAGTAAAATAAGAAATTCATATAAATACTATGGGGTTGTCCCTCAATATTTAAATGCTTTGCTTATACACCGCATCGCAAAGCAGCCTCTGTCAAAGGTTTTCGTGCGTTATGGTCACTTCGCCGAGCGTTCAAATCTTTTGACGAGGAAACGTTTCGAATTTTATATCCCATATATGTAAGACCACATTTAGAGTACTGTATCCAAGCAGCTAGCCCGTGTCTGGTAAAGGATACTAACTCCCTTGAGCGTGTCCAGCGTGTGAGAACGAAATTAGTGAAGGGTCTTTCTAGACTCCCTTACGATGAGCGTTTAAAACGCCTAAATCTTTTCCCCTTGTCGTATCGTAGGACACGAAGTGACCTTATACTGGCATTTCGCATCTTTAATTATGATTTCGGTGTTAATATGTCTTATCTTTTTGCTCCCCCCAGCACTAATAATCTCCGAGGTCATAGCAAGAAGGTTCATAAACCACGATCTAATAAACTTAAAGTGGGGTCCCGTTTTTCTCATCGAGTAGTCAATCACTGGAACGCCTTACCCGAACAAGTGGTATCAGTCCCATCAGTGAATACTTTCAAGGAGAAGCTGGACCTTCACTGGAAAGCAATGTGTCAGGATTAATACAGGTTTACCAACCTACTATCCTTATTACTGAAGACTGAAGACGAAGCGTAAACGCGACTCGACACCATGAGAGAACTAAGGGCTATGATGGGTACCAGTATTATTGTCCGGTAGTACAAGTACTGAATTTGTTACGACTTATTAACGTATTTCAACTCAATTTGTATTTCAGTCCGGGAGCCCAATCAACGAAAAAGGGGGAAATGCATCGGAAAATAATGGGGAAACGCGCCAAAATATCTGCGTTTTCGCCTGTCCAGGGGAAATGATGAGGATTTTTCGCCTTTTTGTCGGTGTTTCAAATGTCGCAGAATTGTCTACTTCTCGCGTAAATATACGCCGAATCGTCTACTTTTGTTTCAACTTGAACTAGTGAAAGTAACAATGTCGAAACTTCCAGATACTACACAACGCCTCGTCTAAAATAACATACTGAGACGAATAACTATACCAAACGTAAATCCTACATCAATCAATTCAAGTTTAACCACTACACAATGATTTTCTCACACGAATAATGAAAAGGCCTCTTATCTTCACACTGCACGCCGCGATGTGAAATCAGCAGGTCTCTAGAAAGACTTTAGTGCTTACACAGATAATATAACATTTGAATCCAATATCACTTTAAGTCCATTGTTCCTCTTCAGTGAAAATTACCATTCACACATCCATACTTTTGAAATCAACAACCTGTTCAAGGTCAAATGATGTAAATGGATTGACTAAAATGGTTGAAATGGTAGTACTGTACAAAATAATAAACTCTGGTTTATTACATTTCGTGTAACACAACAACAAGAACGATGCTTTCATGTAGGAAACTGAGCGAATAAAATGCTCGTAAATAAAGTAAATATTAGTTGGTAAGTATGAGATCCCATTTCAAGTCTTCAAATACTGTCATGTTTCTTTGTGAATTTCAAGCGGTAAATAAATCCAAAAAATAAACAGTTCTATGGGCCTTTGACTCTTGATGCTAACCTCATTAGTTTTGATGGACACATCTAGCTGAAGGCGCTCGGTCACGCATATGTACCAGATCATGAACGAATACGCAGTGCTTCAAATCTCCTACAACACTTAGATAACCTAGATCAAACGCTTCCCAATATATTTAGAGCCTTTCAAATACATATTTGAACCTCTTCATTTTCGTTTTCTGATTTGGCACACTCCGAGGATAAAAGTGGTAAACGTAAGGGCGTTTTCAAACTCCGAATACTTGTGACAACTTAAGTGGTGGGCCCGGCGTGACCTGGTACACTAATTCATGAAGTGTTAGTTCGTTTCTTGTTGGAACATAATATATCATTTTTCAATACATATATTTTTACATATCGCGATGTCATTTTCATATTCTCGGAGAGTTTTTTTCCCTTATTGGTATATTTTATCTTCACCGTGATTGTACAGACACCGAAGTTACTTAAGATGAAACATCTTCCACCTCCAACCATTCAGTCAACGCGATTTCGACCAGAAAATATGGAAGCCTGGTTCTGCTACTCAGAAGCTGACTTTCATGAGCACGGCATGACAAGCCCAGGTGCACAATCCCTCACTGCAGTGAAGACACTACCGCGCGATGTTGACAGGTACGTCACACTTATTATGTTTACTAGTGATGTCTCGGGATCATACGAAACTTCGAAGGAAGCTTTTCTTAAGCTTGAAGATCTAATAGACCGACCAGGGTCAGGTCAAATGTTCTGTAACATCGAGATGCGACATGGCTCAGCAGCAGACATGTCGTCACGAATGAGAGGGGTTATTTGGTTGACGGACCCTGGACGATGTCCTGTTCAAACAGCTCTTGTTATTTAAGCTTCCTCAACAAGTGCAGGCAGTACTTATCTCGTCTCAAAACAACGCCGTAGATGAGCTGGTTTCATCCGCAAATCGAATTCTGGAGATCACCAGAACTTCTAACGCCGGGGTTTTTTCAGTCAAAGAAAAACATCAAACGACACGAAATGGCGTTACAGAACTCATTCATACACTGAAACGTTGCCTTAGTATTCGTCTTAACCGCAGACGATCCCAAACTCCTCGAGGAAGCTCTTCATGGAAACAACATATCTCTAGATCACGAGAGACAGACGACTCTGATTGGTTCTGGCATCATAAACAGTACGGAAAATCTCAAAGTTGCAGGAAACCCTGATATTTTCCGAACTTCAAGTCTACCGACATGAAAAACGTTTCTGGAATCTTCCCAGCTGGCACACGTTAACGGCAATCGTAACCGGCGAACATAGCCATCTGTTATACATCACTGATCTGACGACGAAAGTTCCTTATGTCGTCGGCAATGGTGCCGAAGTAAACGTTCTTCCTGCAAATTCTAAAGACCGAATGCACGGACGAGTTTTCAACTTACAAGTTGAAAATGGGAAACCGATAGCCAAATACGGCAAGCTATACGTGTATCATGACGTGGATTCACGCAAACCCATTCACTGGATTTTTGTTGTTGCAGATATTTCTATGCCAATCACCGGTATAGACCTGTTGCAGCATCATAGTCTACTCAACGACAAGAGCAAACGGTGATGGTTGTTTTATAATCTCGTTTTCCGGATGTATTTTACTGCCAGTCACTGTTGAGCACATGCTCAATGCATACTATCAACAGATACACGATAAGTACCCTGAACTATACTAAGTGCACCCCAAACTACCATGTGTAACCAGCAATGTTACCCATCACAAAATGACTACAGGATTATCTGTATTTTCGAAAGCTCACCGACTTAGTCTCGAAAAGCCTGGATTAGACAAAACCAAATTCGAACGCATGATGGATTTAGGAATTATTCAGACATCAAAAAGCCTGTGGTAATAGCACTTATATATAGCCCCTAAAAGAACAGCAATAATTGGTGTCCAACTGGTGATTATCGGCGACTGAATGCGGATACAGCCACCGATCGTAACCCTTTACTGCACGCTCACAATTTGACAGCTATCGTGAAAGGTACAATTGATTTTTCGAAGATCGATTTTGCTGAAGCAGATAGACGAATTCCCATAGCTACTACCGACATTGCTAAAACCGCTATCACATGTATCCTTTCGGGTTCTGTAAACTGTTCCTCATGTCTTTCGTATAAAGAAATGCTGCGCAACCTTTTCAGAAATTCATCGATGACGTTGCTCGAGGTCTCACCTTCGTACACGTATATGTAGATGATTGCATGATACCAACATCTGGACCTTGTTTCTGAAACGTCGAGAAACACGACATTGCTGTAAACAATCTGAAATGTCAAATCGAACCTGACTCCTTATATTTTCTCGGGTACACTATTAGTGCTCAAGACATCCTCCAGTTGGAAAGCAAAGTAGTGATCATTCTGAATTACCCCGGACAAACCACAATCAAGCAACTACGAACGTTTAACGGCCTAGTAAATTTTTATGGATGGTTTATAACGAGTTGCGCTTCCCTAACTACACTCTTAACAGAGAAAAATTGCGGAAATACGAAACTCATTGCGAAAAAATCACTCTCTACATTCAAGTAAATTATCGGAAAATCAAACTACACTAGCGCACCACAACATTAAAGTGCCTATTTGCATCGCAGTAGACGCATCCGACTCGGCAATTGGAGGAGCCTTACGACAGTCAGTTAACCACACCTGACAACCTTTGGCACTCTTCTCGAAACGGTTGCTCGACACCGAATCGAGATATATAAATTCTGGCAGGAACCTATTAGTCATATATTGTGCTGTATGGCACTTTCGATAATCGGTAGAAAGCCGAGAATTCACTAACCTCTCACCTCTCTTAGCTCATCTTCAAATAAGTACTCTCCTCGAGAGTCTCAATAAATTGACTAAATTTTGCATTTTATTTCAGATATAGAACAC